AGTTTTTTCATGTGTTTAATGCTATAAACCTTCCTCTTAGGGCTGCCTTGATGTGTTCCATAGATTTTGGTACATTGTGTTTTCATTTTCATTCAGTTCTAAGGATTTTAAAATTTCTTAATTTCTTCCCTCATACAACTTTTATTCAGTACTCTGTTGTTTGTTCCTTGGTGGTCGGATCTTATACAAGATTCAATTTCAATTTTTCTAAATTTGTTGAGACTTCCTTTGTCTCCGATTTTGTGATCTATTTTAGAGGGAGCTCCATGGGCTGCATAGAAAAAAGTATCTTCTTTAGTGTTTAGGTGGAATGTTCTATAAATGTCTATAGCATCTATTTGATTTAAGGTGTAATTTGACTAACTCCAGAGTTTAGTGTTGGCCTGGATGTTGTGTCGGTTAGTGAGAGTGGATTACTGACATCGCCCACCATGTCTGAATTGGAGCCAGTCTGTGGTTTGGGGTCTGACAGTGCTTCTTTTTAAAAACCGGGTAAGCCGGTATTTGGTGCATGGAGGTTTAGAATGGTAATACCTACCTCTCCGTGGCTCTTTTCTTTTAATGAGTGTGCAATATCTCTCCTTATCTGTTTTGATTTCTTTTTGTTTAAAGTCTATTTTGTTAGGTATTAGAATAGCTATGCTTGCTTGTCTCTCAGTTCTGTTTGCTTGGAATACCTTTTTTTTTCCCATCCATTTACACTGTAATCAATAGTGAAGTGTGGTTATTTTTTATTGTATGAAGAGATGTGCAGAATTACCTAATAATCACAGGTAGTGAACTGAAGACAGACTAAAGTAAATATGTCTTTCCATCCTGTAGTATCTTATTTAATTTATTTTTTCAGTGTCTTAAAGTTTTCAATATAAAGGTCCTTCACTTCCTTGCTTAGGTTTCTTTCAAGGTACTTTTATTTTTTATTTTTGAAGCTATTGTGAATGAGATATTTATCCTATATTTTCTCAGCAAGTTCATTACTTCTATAATGAAAGTTACTGATTTTTGTACGCTGAAAATTTATTAGAATTGTTTATTAAGTTTAACAATTTTTGGGTGGGATCATCGGGAACTTTTCAGTATTGAATCATGCCATCTGTTAATAAGGATAATTTGGTCTCTTCCTTTCCTATTTTTTATGTTTTTAGAGAATTTAATACAATGTATTTTGATCATATTCTTTCCCTGCTTTAACTCCTCCCAGATCCTCCCCCACCTCCCTGCTCATCCAATGTCATGTCTTTCTTCCTTTCTCCTTCCTTCCTTTTTTCTTTCCTTTCTTCCTTCCTTTCTTCCTCCCTCCCTCCCTCCCTCCTTTCCTTCCTTTCTTTTCTTACTTTAAAAAACAACTAAAGCCCAAACCAAATAAAACCAAACCAAAACTAAACAAAAGTACACAAAAACCAATGAGTCTAATTTGTGTTGTTCAAATACTCATGAGCATGGGGCCTGCCCTGGTATGTGGTTGATGTACTCAGTATCACGTTATTGAAGAAAACTGATTTTCTTCTCCCAGCAGGTATCATTTTGGAATAGCTTCTTGTCGAGGGGCAGGATTTTGAACCCATTTCTATTTTTCCATTCTTGGATTTTGTCTGGCTTGAGCTTATGTACATTTTGTGAGTTCATATTGCTACAGTCCTATTATATTTGGAAAGTGCTGTTTCCTTGAAATCATCTACCACCTCTGGCTTTTGAAACCTTTCTGTTATTCTTCCATATAGGCCTCTGAACTTGAGGGGAGAGGGTTGATTAAGACATCTATTTAGGGGTGAGTGCTTCAAGTCTCTCACTTTCTGCAATTCGGGCCTCCTTATTAATCACCATTTACTGCAAGAAGAAGCTTCTCTGCTGAGGGCTGAGTGATGTATTGATCTGCAGGTATAGCAGTATACATTAGGAGTCATTTTATTGCCACATTCTCAGGAATATCGACCAAACATGGCACATCAAGTTGCAGTAAGACTAGGCCCCTCCCCTCATATTAAGGCTGGATGAGGCAACCCAGTAAGAGGACAAGGGTCATAATCTCCCGGAAGTGCTTTTCTTAGAGGGTTTCATCTCCTAGATGCAGCCTCAGAAACAGCTGACTCTCCTCCTCCCAGCTCCTTGGGTGGAGGTGGAACTCCATGCTGCCCCACCCCCCCACGCTGGAATTTGTCCGTCTGGAGCATGCACAGGTCTTGTACATACTGTCTCAACTGTTGTGAGTTCAAGCGTAACAGCAGCATTTTTGGGTCAGTACTACAGAGCCCTTAATATTTCCCCAAAGTTTCAGGCTGATGAGTCAAAGTCCTAATGTCTCTCCAAGTTATCAGCCTACTTTCCCTCTTGGAACATCTTCTGATGGATTTGTCACCTAGGTTCAGATTTTCATTTGTTCTGTGCGCAACTGTTTTAGATGTTTCATCTGTCCCATGGTCTCTGGATGTCCTGGGCAGATGCATCAGGTCAGGAGCTATCTGGGACTTTGTTCATTTTCTGTAAAGACACAAGCGTAACCTCACCCTAATGTTGGAATATCGGGCTTTTTTTTTTTTTTTTTTTTTTTTGCATTTACTTTAGGGTGTGTCTCCTTTAGGGCAAATGTATGTGGGCAGCAGAAAAAAAAATCATCATTAAAGTGAAATTTAAAAATAGAGTTATCATAATTAAATGTAAGAATTTAGGTGGGTGTAAATACTCCCTTTTTATTTTTAAAATTTTGCCAATTAAGTATCTGCTGGTATCGTTCCACTATAGCTGACCTTGTGGATAGTAAGGGGTTTCAGTGACATGATTAATATTAAAATTCCTCAAATCATTTGCTAGCATAAGTGGGGCCATTTTTAGTATTTAGTTCCAAGTGTATGAAGAGCTGTCTGACAAAGTGAAGTTCCAGACATGATACAGTGCTACTTCTCTGGAGCTCCTAAGGCCTCGAGCCAGGCCTGGGGCTGTGCTCGGGAGCTGACTGGCTAGGGAGGGGCATTGTGCAAGCCTGTAGTGAGCGTTAGCACAGATCTGTGCATACCTGACATACATGGTCCCAGATATGGGCAGCAGTAGTTTTGGGTATCAAGCCGATGTCCACCTATTACAAATTAAGTATTAGGATCTTGGAATAAAATAATGTCTTTAAATTGTATAAAACATGTCCCCTAATAGAGGATAACTCTTTTTTTTTTTTTAGTTTAAACATTTTAAATAATTTATCTACTTTATATGCTGATTGTAGCCCCCTCTCTTGTCTCCTCCCCATCTCACCCACCCTCCCTGTAAAGCCTTTAAAAATTACCTTTCTTGCCAATGTCTGATCATTTATTAGATCAAGGAAAAATATGAAAATTAAAAACAAAGAAACCTACTAATTAATTAACTGTGTTCATTAAGTTTTAACTATTTAAACTTAAGGCTTTTATTAATTTAAGATTTGGAATCTTTAAGATTTAGAACAGTTTTCATTTTGAGCTTAGTAAGACTCTCCTATTAGGTAACAGGGTATCTAGAAGTGTCTGAGAAATAAACAGAAAAAATCAGTTCAGGTTTTTCCAAGTAAGTATGAAAATTTATATATACAAGTGATACTGCAAAAAAATGTAAACAATATCAAAGTATAATGCTTTCATGGAGGAAGAACTTTCTTGAAGACTCTAATCTTTATTATGTTGTGTAGACAAGACAATTTGATGCAACAGATTCTCAGTCTCCACCAGAAGTAATTTTAGGTGAAAACTTCCAAATAATCTAGTTTTTACTGATTGCATTTTTGGTTTAACTTTTTTTTGGCCTCCAAGGGAATTTGAGAAACATGCAATTATATCTGCATTCCATGGCCACTATATTACCCAGAAGAAAGCTTTAAAAAAAAAATTTCTTGATTCCAATTTTCTCTGGTTTTCCCCTTTAAATAAATCCCAAGCCTGTTTTTTTTATTTTAATTTTTTTGTTTTTTACAAAAACATAAATTTTAAAAATGAAGTTTTAGTAATCATGAATATTAAGAACTCTGAGTGGGTTTGGGTTTTCAGTGCCTACAAGGCCTGAAATTGGAAGAAAAAAAAAAAACCCTCTACTTTTTGATATAAAGGACAAGATAAAATTTCTTATTTTACTAATACTGTGAACACATCACTGGATGGATGTTTAATTTGACCAGGCAGCTGTCTATTAAGTACACCTGATTGTAATGTACTTTATTTGCTTTATTTACTTGCTTTAGGCTTAACTTTGACAGCATATTTAGAAGGCTAAATAAATCTTGCGATTGTAAATGAATTACATTTGTAGTTAGCATGACTACAAGAATAGTTTTGAGCAAATTAAAGTTTTTGATCATTTATAAGGTGACTGACCATTAATTTGTATGGCTGAATTACTTTTAACAGTTTACAACAAGTTTATAGCTTTTATAAGACTATGATTTTATAGTTTTATCCCTGTAAAGTAGCCATATATTTTAAATTTCTCCTTGTAATGCAACTGCATGGCTGTGTCCAGAAGACACATTTCTAAAAGGGCCAAATAACGTATATGTTCTAGTGTTTAGCTTATTTCCTTACCACCATATATGGTGATCACTAAGAATAGCTTGAAACCTGACTGTTATTTCAGGGTAACTTGAATTGCCAGAAGAATTAACTGAGGTCATGAAAGTCCTGCCATGCTTAGAGACTGACGGCAAATAAAGGAAATGAATTGTTGACAGAGATTGCAGTGACATTTGAACAATCTTAAGTGTTCCCATGAGTTAAATACCTTTTAGTATCACGAAATCTCATTACTTTGTGAAATTATAAAATACATTGTGTTTATATTTTATTTTTACAATTTCCAAATGCATGCTTAAGGTATTTGAAAATATAATTTTAAACCTACCTTGTTTTCAGTTTACCAAAGAGGAGCAATGGGGGAATTTCAAAGAATCAAGGTGGTTTTTCAGGCTAAGTTTTATCTTTTGTATTCAAGATCCATTGCGCTTTCCTTAAAGTAAGTTTAAGCTGCTTCTCTCTTTTCCCTGGTAGCGTTTCTACAAGAAAGCAGCAGCCTTTGTGCTGAGAGCAGTTGGCAAACATTCCCCTCAGCTGGCCCAGGCCATCGTTGACTGTGGAGCTCTCGACACTCTGGTGATATGCTTGGAGGATTTTGACCCTGGAGTCAAGGAGGCGGCGGCCTGGGCACTTGGATATATCGCAAGACATAATACAGGTAACGGATGCTATTTGGATATAGGGCAACTGTAGATTTATTACACAAATTCAGTTCTAATAAACAGTAGATGGAGATTTTAGGATGGTTGTGTACATGATGAGAAATCAGGCTTGAACGACAGTCCACCTATTTGATCACACGCCTCCAACATCTTAGTCTTACAAGAAGAAGAAAAGCAGAGGTGGAAGAATGGGGCTGGTCCTCAGTGGCTTTGGTAGCCAGTCATAATGTTGCATGCTTGCAACCCAGGCATTCAGGAGGCTGAGGCAGAAAGATTACAAGTTCAGGACCAACCTGAGCAACTCAGTGAGGTCCTGTCTTAAAACCAAAGTAAACAAAACCAACCAAAACAAATATCCCAAATCAACCGATCAAATAAAAATATCCTTGGAGTATTTCATTAATGAGTTTATCTTGGATTGTCATCGCATGAGACCTCCCTGGTCTTTGTTATGTTACATTTAAAATGATAAAATTACACAAGTATACATCTATTAATATGTATGTGCAAGCTTTCCTATGAATACAGTTATAATGAACTACAAGTCTGTATTACAGTTAGTAGAATTGGGATGCTTTGTCAAAACTTGCGGATTTTTTTTCATTTTGTTTATGAATAACATAGCGGCTACTGTGTGCTGAATAATTATAAGCCTAGTTCTGTGCCTTGTATTTCAGATACCAAAATGTTGTCTCATTTTGACTGCGGCTATCTTGTTTTGGTGCTTGTATCCTACTGAACAGTGTAACTTAGAGAGACTGCCTGAAGTTATGTGGATGGTAGCACCAGAAACTGGGGTTAATTCTGGCTCCCAAGTTAATTACTTGACCGCACAACTCCACTCTATTGCCTGACAGTACTGGCGACAACCCATAAAACCAGCGACACCACTGGAGACAGAAGAGAAATAGAACAGTAAAGTTAACCTGAGAATCTTGTCGCTGTGCTTAGAAGGCTTCAAAATTGGTGCACTAAAATTCATCTCATAGCATCTAGAGTTTGGTTTTCTAAGTAGGTTCACTTAAGCCTGTTATCTAATACCCATTGGAAAAATAGCCAGTACTTCTTATTTTTAAATTAGCATATGTTAATGATAAGCAGCAATAGGGGATGTGTGTGTGTGTGTGTGTGTGTGTGTGTGTGTGTGTGTGTATTTTGAGCTTACCCTGTTCTCTCCAACCTTTATTCCCCTCTCTGGTCTGCCTCCCACTAATCTTTCTCCTTTCTCCAATGAGTCCTCAGTCTTCATTAGGATTACTATTCCTGTGATGAAATATCATGATGAAAACAACTTGAGGAGGAAAGGGCTTATTTACCTTATGTTTCTACATCAGACTGTTTAACATCAAAGGAAGTCAGGACAGAACTCACGTCTGGCAGGAACCTGGAGGCAGGAGCTGACGTGTACAGGCTGTGGAGAGGTGCTGCTTCCTGGCTTGCTCCTCATGGTTTGCTCAGCCTTCTCTCTTACAGAACTCAAAACCACCAGTCCAGGGATGGCACCACCCACAGTGGGCTGGGCCCTCCCCCATCAGTCACTAATTGCCGGCAGCCTCATCTTGCGGAGGCATTTTCTTAACTGGGTTCCTTCCTCTCAGATGGCTTTAGATTGTGTTAAGTTAATATAAGACGATGTGGCGCCTCCTCCTCCTCCTTTTATGTATTTTATTTTGTTTACCCCATGAGTTTCACTGGGGTTGAGAATTTGACACACGACTACCCAGCATCACAGTTTCCACCCTTCCGTCTTCTCTCTCCAAGTCCTCATGTGTTCCCCCGTCACTGCCTCTCAGATCCATAGCCTCATTTATAAATATTGTTTCTATATTTCTATGCATCTAAGTAGCTATATGTTTATATATCCTACTGAGCCCGATTAGTGTTGCCTACATATGCATATGTTTAAGGCTGACTGCTTAGGATTGGGAGCTTGTTTCCCGGAAGAGCTGGTTCCCCGTCCTTCACAGCCACCGATAGCTTGCAATTGTCATCTAAGGCTTAGGGCCTTGGTCAAGTTTTCTTCTGTCCCTGTTGGCATGTTAACTGGTGTGGCCTTTGCAGGTCTTGCTGAGAGTTCATGGGTGCAGCATCCTTGTCGTGTCCAGAAAATACTGTCTTGTAGCAGTCATCTGCTCCCTGGCTCTTAAAATGCTTTCCCTGCTCGTCTGCCATGTCCCCTGAGCCTTAGGTGTGAGAGTTGGGTTATAGATGTCTCATCCGGGGCTGGGTACTCCATGGTCGCTTACTCTCTGCATCAGTTGTGGATCTCTCTAATAGTCCCAACTCTTCTTCAGAAAGGAGCTTCTTTGATGACGGGTGAGAGCTGACCGACCTCTGTGTATAAAGATACACATTAGAAGGCAGAAAAGGCAGAACATGAGAACATAGTAGCAATAGCAATAGGGTCTTGTCCGGGGTCCATCTCCACTCTTGGGTTCTTGGTTAGGTTTACAGTACTAGGCATACGCTCCCAATTTCCTCCCTCCAAATCCTCCTGTACATCCCCACTTGTTCTCTTTCAAATTCACGGCCTCTCTTTAGAGTAATTATTGCTATATACAGATATACCCGTGTATATTCCTAAAAACATAAATAGATCCCGCTCAGTCTGTGTAATAGTATTTGTAGGTATGTTTTCATTTCTGACCATTTGGTATTGGATGAGCACTTGGTATGTTCTGCCCTTGGATTCCCTCTGATTCCGGCAATCCTTAGTTGCCTGTAGTTCTTTGACTGGGGTTGAGTCCTCATGGACTTTCCCTATCCAATTTAGCATGTCTAGTTTGTCTTTCTTTACGTTTGGGAAATTTTTTTCTGTGATTTTGTTAAGGGTATTTTCCGTGTCTTTGACCTGTGTTTCTTCTTCCTTTATACCCATCATTTTTAGGTTTGCTGTTTTCATAGTGTCCCATATTTCCTGGATGTTTGGTGTCTAGATTTTAAAATATCTAACATTTTCTTTGACTGACGTATTCATTTCTTCTACCTTGATTTAAAGACCTGACTTCACTTCATTTAGTCTGTTAGTGAGGCTTTCCTCTGAGCTTTTTGTTTGACTTCCTGAGTTTTCATTTTGAGTTTTATTTCAGTGTGGCTTGACTTTGGTGATTTTATTTCTTTGTTAAATTCTATTTCTGTGTTCTGAATTATTTAACTAAAATATTTGTGTTTTCACAGTCTTTGTTGAAGCATTTCTTTTCATATCTTATTTAGGGTCCTGTACTGAAAACACTTGGCTGTAAATTCAGAGACTATGTTGTTTTCTAATTGTATCTCATAAGTGGCTTAATGAATCCTCATAGTCAAATCACAGACCTAATTCCTGAACGTTTCTGCTGACCTCCTGCATGAACAAGATAAAAGCACCAATATTTTACTGCAAGGATGTCTTGTTGGGCAGGTCCTTATTGTGATGGTTACACTGATGAATGCTTTTTTTCTTTTGACTGCTTGCAAAGCACCCTCTGATCTTATGAGAACTAGTCCTCAGGTTTCCAGGTCAATTTGAGCTCAATTCTTTTAATCCCAGTGTTTGAACTGTGTGGTCTGAGTTCCTTTTTGAGACAGGGCCTCTTGTTGCTTAGGCTGGCCTGAAACTTACTATGTATCTGAGTCTGGCCCTGAACCCCTGATCTTGCCTCACCTTTTTTTTTTTTTTTTGCCTCACCTTTTAAAGAGGCATGTGCCACCATGCCTAGTGTCAACAGTCAACACAAAATATGAATATTATATTAATGAATTATCAAATCATGCTTAGAATTCTTTTTTGTTTCCCTTGGGTGGATGTGGTTAGTGAGCGAAGCAATGATCTCTGACTCCATCCCCTGACTTAAAATGCAGCTGTTTAACAGGTCAAATACTCCCTCATCCTTTCTTTTTCTGTGTCTGCCACTGTGAAAAATGGGTTGCCCAAGAGTCAGTCACCATCCTCATTCACTCTTTTCTTTTGAACGTACAGAATTATCTCAAGCTGTGGTGGATGCAGGGGCAATCCCTCTTTTAGTTCTGTGTATCCAAGAGCCGGAAATTGCCTTGAAAAGGATCGCTGCCTCCACCCTCAGTGACATCTCAAAGCACTCTCCAGAGCTGGCCCAGACAGTGGTGGATGCAGGAGCCATTGCCCACTTAGCCCAGATGATCCTCAACCCTGATGCAAAACTGAAGGTAATAAAAATGAGGTGAAAGAGACAGACAAGCCAGTGCTTCTTAGCCTAAGGGAATGAAAATATGTACAGGTCGACGTTATATAGTAAAAAGAATTGTCAATGTAATTGAAAACATACAAACATATTATACATCTGCTCTTCTAATATGTGAAAGTAATGCTGTAAGGATGAAACAATTAAGATATGATTGGGAAAACTGTGTTTCATTTGCTCTGCTGCTATGACAAAAGCACCATGACCAAAGCAACTTGTAGGAAAAGGGTTTATCTGGTTTCCATGTTAGAGTCCATCACTGAGGGAAGCTAGGGTAGGAGCTCAAGGCTGGAACCTGGAGGCAGGAACTGAAGCAGAGGCCACAGAGGAAGGCCATTACTGGCCTGCTTTCCTGGTTTGCTTCTTTCTTTTACAGCTCAGGCCTATCTGCCGAGGGATGGCACTGGCCACCGTGAGTTGAAGCCTCCTATAGCCTCCTACATCAGTTAGCAGCCAAGACGCTGCCTCACAGATGTGGTCATAGGCTAATCCAATCTGTTCACTTCTTCATTTGATGTTCCCTCGTCCCAGGTGACCATAGGGTTGTGTCAAGTTGACAGCTGAAGCTAACTATGACATTCCATACCTGTCAACTTTGACATACAAGCACATCACTTTAAATGATAACTTTTCTTTCGTGTTTGTCTCCAAGATCTAACATTAATGCTGTACTGTAAAATATAGTACAATTTCAAAAGTCCCATATATAATTGAAACTTTATAAACTTCATAAACTCCAACACTGTAAAACTTCACTGCCTCTTTAAAAACCCAGAGTCTTTAAACTGCTCCTGTAAAAAAAAAAAAAAAAAAGTTACATACTTTTCTTATTCCAAGATGGAAAAACCAGGATACATCAGGTCAAAGCAAAAAAAAAGTCCAACAGTATAACTCAGTGCCTGATCTCTGGGTCTCACTCATGCTCTTCTGGTCTCCGCCTCTGCCATTGTTAGCACACACACAGCTTGTCCGGTAAGCTCACGGCAGCGTCACTCTGTACCTTCCCCTGTCCTTTGTAGCTCCAATATGGTAGAGTCTGCACTACACTGAGGCTGTACGGTCGTCACCAGTGGCCCACGTGGTGCAGGCCTCAGCTTCGCCCAGAGACCCCTCAGTCCTAGGGTCTCCTCTGCAACTGAGGCCGTATCTTTACCAGTAGCCTCTCCTGGTCGCTGCCACATAGAGCCAGGCTTCATCTGCTCTCCGTAACGTCGTCATTCCTTTAAAACCAGCACTGCCTGGGGGGGATCATAAATCTTTAAAAACTACATTTGAATTATTAGGGGGACTATAGGAGTCCATAGAACGTTTCATTTTTACTTTTGCTTGACAGCGTCAGGTCCTTTCAGCGCTCAGTCAGATTGCAAAGCATTCTGTGGATCTGGCAGAGATGGTTGTTGAAGCGGAGATTTTCCCTGTTGTGCTCACCTGCCTGAAGGACAAAGATGAATACGTGAAGAAAAACACTTGTACTTTAATTAGAGAGATCGCCAAACACACGCCTGAGGTAAAACCAAAAACCACCTGAACAGCAAACTTCAAGATGCAGTTATACTTAGATTTGGTGAACACCAGTATTCCTGGCATTTGCCTGCTAGATGAATGTATTGCCTCTCTCCCAGGTGGTAACAATCAAAAAGTAACTATGTACATTGCTAAATGTTCTGTAGGGTACAAAATTGACAACCATTGAATCCTATTAATCCTATTAATCTAGTTGGAGTTTTAAATCCAGTTTCTAGTGACCTACAGCTTTCCGTTTCCAGTTGTAGGACTGTGGGCTTCTGTCATCCTCAATGTTTTGTGTCAGCTAGGAGCAATGAAATGATATGTTACATTTCTGGGTCAATTCAGGCCATAAAGATCCCTTGGCCCAGTATCAGTACTGTTGATTTACATGTGGAAAAAAAAAACCCATAAAGCTTGGGTTGATTCCGAAGTTTTATCCTTTGTGTGTGTGTTAATTTTATTGTATGTTAGTCCTTGTGTTTCATTTATCTTTATGGGATTTTCTGTAATTGAAATACTTCAGCTTTGTAGTCATTGGCAGCAAAGAGGCAAGTAGGTTAGACTATTCCAAGTGTCTGAGCATTCAGTGGTTAATATAAGCTGAGTAATTAGCTAGTTATAAGCTAGCTCTGCACTTACTGTCTCTGCACTTAGTGAAGGGTTCTAACATCCATTATAACAGGGATAGAGCTTCTACTGATGTCAAAGAAAATTGAACTACAGAATAAGATTCCTCGTAGTGAATGTATCTGTAAAACAGCAAGAGTGTTATCAGTTGGTTTTTTTTAAGTCCTAAATAAAGTGTGGTCAAGCTGTCCTGAGAGATCACCTGAGCCTTTTGTTTTTGTTTGTTCCCCTTCAGCTTTCACAGCTGATTGTTAATGCAGGAGGCGTGGCCGCAGTGATCGACTGCGTTGGGTCCTGCAAAGGAAACATCCGGCTGCCTGGCATCATGATGCTGGGTTACGTAGCTGCTCATTCTGAGAACCTGGCCATGGCTGTGATCATCTCCAAGGTCTGTGTTTGTCCCACACCTACCGAGCAGTCGGCTGTTTGCGAAACCACCGTTACTGTAGAACCATAAGCTGGTGTTCTTCATCAGAAGAGAAAATATAACTGGACAGAGCAAAAAAAAAAAACCAAAATGACCCATTTTTTTCAGTTGTTTCACTATTGAATTCAGAGCTTGTTGTTATGTTTCCTAGAGTGAACTTGAAAAAAAGGTTGGGATACCAGAAAATGTTGTTTTACTCAGTGTCTGCTATCAATAATTATTACCACCTTTAAGTATTACTGTTATATAAAATTTATCTGTTAAGTGTATATATATATTACAGGACTAATTTGCATATTTACAAACATGCCAAGCACCCTGTGGTTAAAAACCGTCATAGTTGGATTGTGGCACATGCCATTAATCCTAGCACGTGGGAGCTGAGTGGATCTCATGAGTTCCAAGTCAGTTGGGTCTCAACAAAACAAGACAAAACAAACAAAACCCATTATAAATGATTTGACAACTAGCCATTTTCTCTGTTCTCAGTGGCCTCCCTTTCCTGTATTTCCTGTATTTCTCCCTTTCCTGTCTCTTAGATACGGGGACAGCTCTCTCCTCCTGAGGGTACAGGCTGTCTGCACATACATGCAGCAGAGAGCAGGCTTGTGCTCTCGTTTCATTGCTTTGGGTTTAGAAGAATCTATGACTTTGTGTAAACTCATTCTGTAGTGCAGCCCGGGACCGTAGTAGCCACTCACAAAGTGTGCTGCTGCAGAAGTATTGATCCCTGAAGAGTGCTCCAGGGGCGGTGTACTCACAGCACGTATGGCGTCTGGTCAGCAGTTCCTTCAACGGGAACATGAGTACTTTGCCATTCCCGCTAATGACAATGAAGAGCATCTTTGGATTGCTGTCTTCCAAGTGTTCCACAAAGACGCTCTGTCCTTCTATCCTGCTCTTTTGTTTTTGTTCTTCTGTTATCGCAGGCTAGAGTGACTAGAGCAGTGGTAGTCCCTGTAAGGACATGACGAGGGGTCTGCTTCTCAGTACCACATGGAAGGACAATGAGAGTGTGGCAGTTGGCAGCCTCGTGGGCATGCAGCTCAGGCAGCAAGGAAGGCTGCCACCAGTCCTTCCTTTGGTTTTTCAGTTTTCTGGAGATAACAGTGGTGGCAGTAGTTTGAGATAAAACATAAAGCAATGCAGCGCTCTCCTCTTTGTTTTAGTGATAATGTCTAAAATTAAAAAAAAAAACGATTATTTTGTGTTTTTTTGAGATTATAATGTAATGACATCTTTTTTCCCTTCTGCACAGCAATTTTCAAATGCCAAATGATCAGCCCTGAAGACGTATTCATATAAGTAAAATTATACCAAGTAGGAAGGTTGTATTTAGGAACACACACATGTAATAATTAGTGAGAAAAAAGAGGCCGTGAATTTGAAAGAGAGCAAGGAGGGTTACCTGGGAAGGTTTGGAAGAAGGAAAAGGGAGGGAACTAACATTTAATGGCACATTAGAACTCTTTGTATCCTCTTGATAGCCAGTGGGCCTGACCACGGATTGGGTCCTCTCCTCCTCTTCCTCAGTCTTGTGACATCTGTAGTGTGGACTTTCTAGAGTTTCACTTCACTCTGAAGGCTGCTCTGAGCTTTTGTATTGGTGGACACAGGAAAAGAGCAGATGAAAAAGTACGGCAGGAAACTGATCCACAGCCAGTAAGGTGGAAGGGGAGAGAATATGCCTAATAAGCTTAAGCTTTACCTGGTATCATGGTCTTCTGATACTGAAAGTTTTTTTTTTTTTTTTTACTAAATTTGAGGTAGTTAATACAATATCAAATTGGAAAAAAATAAGCTTACCAAGGGTCTGGAGTTAGGATTTGATTTGTTTTCCTCAGGCACATACACTGTGATGTGTTTGAGGTGTTCTAGCTAGTTATGTCTTTATTATCTAGTTAATGCTAATGCTTAAAATACGAGATGTAAACCCATGTTACTACTATGACAAAAGGATTCATTCCTACTTAGGTATCCATCCATGTTCGGATGAGGAAAACTGTGCTTAAGTTGACCAAAATTATTAAGTATGTGCTACCTCAAGAAAGATATTAGTAGGGTATATTCAACTTGGTTATATATTACAATTTTAGTCTGTCATAATAATGTTGTTCTCAGATTTACTGTAATTGGTAATAATTAAATTAGTGTGTGTGTGTGTGTGTGTGTGTGTGTGTGTGTGTGTGTGTGTGTG